CCAACCAGCAGGGCCACGTGCTCCATTCCCCCACCTCGGACCCCGCAATGCTCCCCTCCAGCACCTACGACCCCCGGATGTGCTCCCTCCCCTACCTACGAGCCCAGCACACCCTCCCCTCCCCCACCTATGACCCCAGCACATGCCCCCATCCCCCACCTACGGCCCCGGCACACGCTCCCCTCTCCCACCTACCACCCCAGATAAACATCCCTGCCTGTCTCCCTTCTTGGAGGTGCGTCTGAGCCTTAATCCCTGTCTCCGTCTGGCTGCCTCCGATGAACCACCTCGGTCCCTCCACCAGCCTGGCTCTTGCCGTGTTCTGTCTGCTGTGCCGTGGGTGAAGGCACTGTTTGTGTTTGGTAGCTAGAAGGTTCTGATGGTTTTGCATCAAGCAGGGATTCACTGAGGATGCCCCTCCATCTCACCTCGGGGCCCTCCGCTCTGGAGACACCCGGGGCTCTCACACGATACGCCACCGCATGGGCCCATCCTGAATGCCTGGGTGGGTTTTGAGCACCAAGATCTTAAGAAATATTGACTCAAATGGTGGCACCACTACTTCTGATGAGGCTTTCCGGGGTCTCTGTGCTGAGTGCTGTCCCCACTGCACTGTCCCTGGGCACGCCTCTGCCCGTTTCCTCAACAAGACGGCGACGTCCACCGGGGTGTGGACAGAATGCGCATCCTTCCATTCTTTCATCCAGGGCCCATTTTTAAAGTTTCCTCCTCAGGTTCTGGAACTCGTACCCACAGGAATAATTACCAGTCCCTGAAGGACAAGAGGCACGCTCTGCACGACAAGAGGGAACCAGAGACACAGAGACCCTACTTCTGCTGCTGGGTCCTTGGAGACACTCGTCTCAGTGGTCGATGGGGTCACCATAACTCTCCCTTTGTTCAGGCGCCACCGTGAGCCCCGCGTCTGCGTCTACCCCATCCCCGTCCTCCTTTCTCCCTGCACCCCGATGTTTTACTGCCCCCATCCTCTCCCACTTTAGAGGAGGCCGGCTTCATCCCGATCCCACAGCGGATCGGGTCTGCAGAAGCCCGTGAGCAGCTGGGGTTCCCCTGACACGAGCTGCAGACCCATGGGCTCACGACTCAGCTGGGAAATCAGACTGAAGGGGCTCTCCTCTGGAGGGACGGGCCCTCACTGAACGTCGCCACGAAAGCCCGGTGCACCTGATGCCTCTGGGAGACGTCTGGCAACCCGAGGGAGGTTGTAGGAGAAACCCAAGTCAAAGCCCAGCAGGTGTGGACGAGGGAGAGGTGCTGCGCCCGCAGGAAACCCTGTGTGAGAGGACAGCTTCCCTGCTGCCTGGGGAGGCAGAGTCAGAGACCGCTGGCACTCACGGCCCACGCAGCCTCTCCGACTCGGATATCTTATATCGGGGTTGCCATCACGAAAGAGATCTCTTTTTCTTTTCATTTTAAATTCTAACAGTGTATCATTCGTGTAAACAAAAATTTAGATGAATTGAGGTGGAAAAATGTACAAAATTTTGCACATTGTGGAGTAACATGCATATATGATGAGTAGGTTTTTAGTAAGAAAGAAAAAGAACTGCTGAGATTTGTGTGAAATCGTTTGGAGAATACACAATGTAACAGCTGCATTTGTCTCCTATTTGAGCTCGGGAGGCCGTGATGAGGCGTGAGGTCATGAATGTGCTTTTACTGGGTTGTGCGTAGGCACGGCATGTGAATTCTGGGTACCCTTGCGTGATATTTGTAACATAGATGTTATTTAAAATATTATTAGTTAAGACATTGTTGTTGAGAGAGATGTTCAAGTGATAAGCACCCAGCTGCTACTGCCGATTTAGAATTTTCCTGTAAAGCGTACGGAGCCGTGTAAGGTGCACTGAGAAACTCCTGTGAACACGTGCCACGAGCGAGAGTCCAGAGTTGGGGCGGGGTGGGGCGACCTTCAGAAGTCCCCACAGAGAAGCGGCCAACCGGCCGACGAGGCGGGAGGACCACCGGCCCAGGCCGGCCCACGCAGCACAGCCAGGTTACCCACCACCTAAGCAAGGAAACCCTCTGGAGATTTTAAATGGGGAATCTTGGGCTGGTATAAAATCAAATAAGGAAATAGGGGAATAAAACAGTGAAGCAAGAGAAACAGAGGTGGAGGCGGAGGGACGATGGGCAGGGCTGAGCCCTCGAGACGAGCTGTGTGCCGCCTGGAGTCTGGAGCCAGCCTGGGGTTCCAGGGCCTCGTGCTCTTTCCCTGTCCCTCTCGGGGGCAGGGGGCAGTGCATCTCAGTAGGAAGAACATGGCTTTCATGGTAGACCTTACCCAGCAGGATTACGTGGTCTGGCTAATCCCTGGGGGACCCTGGAGAGGTCACTTAGCCCTTCTGAACTCGAGGTTTCTGGTTAGTGAAATGAAAGGAAAAATAAAATAACTGCGTCTTAGATGTATTTAAAAAGTTAATGTGTACAAAATGCATAAAGCCTGGCGTAGAGTATGCTTTGAAAGTAATACAACGCTTGCAATGACTCTGTGATGTGTACGTAACATAATCCTCAATTTGCAGGGTAAGTGATGGTGTTCTGGAGAAATATTTTACCTGAGCTCAGGGAGGGAAACCTGGTCAGCCCAGGACACGAATGCTTGTGATTAACTGCAAAGTACCTCCTCCTTCCTCCCCACCTCATGAGTCTAGAAAACCAAGAAATCAGGGACAGACTCTCGGGCACTCAAGGCCACTCCTGGGGTGGGAGCGAGGAAATGCCCGTGGGGTCATCTCTCAGAAATGGGAGTCCCGAGTGAGAAGCACAGAGGCGCAGATCTGGGATCCAATACACTGAGCGCCATGGACGACCCCTTCATCTGCACAAAGGACACCCCCAGGCTCCTTGAGGACGCCCGCTTCCGGAGCCGCTGTGAAGTCCAGCGCTGAGCGGTGCACGTGCAGCAGGACGCTGGCAGTTACTAAACAGGAGCCCTTACGTCCCGGCTCTATCCAGTCCTGGAAAGCGGGACGACGGATGTCCACTTACTGTCTCAACTCCTGATAGGTTTGTAATGCACATGTGTTTTCACCTCCATCACCCATGAAAGATCCTCATTATCTCAATGCTGGATTAACGAAAATACTTTCTCTGAGACTCACCTGGGCTCACTGCTGCCTCCCGTGTCCTAATTCAGACGTCAGGTCTTTCCTTCTATCAAGCTGCCTCATCAGCCTCGTTTTCACTTCTCCCTGCTGGGGATGCCTTCTCCCTCCTCTTGGTTTGCCCAAAAAGCAATGGTTTTCCAAAGGGGAACCAGAACCATTTCGTCTAGAAGGATTTCCCGACTCAGAGCTCCGGGTCCTCTCCCCAACACACCCCTTTGTTTTTGACAAGGGACGCTCTGAGCACAGGGAAGGAGTGCGTGGCCACTGTCCTTTTGAGGGAGGAGTTCTATCCTTTAAGAATGTCAGGTAAAGTTTTGTCCATCTAGGATGAGTCAGACACTCATCTTCTTATGTCTGGGTACCAGATGAAACAACCTTTCAGCTTCCTTCACACACTGGGATTTTATGATTTATCTTAGTGGTGCTATCTTCTCCTAGCTGTCTGTCATCTTCCTTTAAACAAGACATAAGCGTCACCCTGACTGCTCACTCAGGCAGCACGGTTGGTGACCCTATAGACGTTAGCACAGCCCTGTACCCCCAAATGCGTGGAGAATTCTCTCTCCTTCCCTATTTTTTAATGTTGAAAATATAACGATTACTGCTGTGATAAAGAAGTAGTTATACAAAAAGTTCACCTCACCAAAAAAATGTTCTTCACTTTGTCCTTTAACGCCTTGAACTTTCTGTGTTGGTAATTTCTAAGTGGCTAAAAGTCACTGAACACTTGAAGGATTAAGTTCCTGAGCTGAGGGATTCTGTATCAAGTACTTCAGGACCCTGCCAATGCCCATATGGTTAAACAAGTTGGATGCTTCTGATGGAAAGGTCATTGTAAGCATCAGGCACCCATCACGATTCCAGTTGATGACACCCTGCTAAAGGGGGAGACCGCAGTGGCCTGGAAGAAACCTGAGATTTGATTTCCATGAACATCCGAGTGGAGCATCACTACATGGACCCATAGGTCTCAGTGACCAGAAACAGCGGAACGATGCTCCCAGCCCTGTAACAGCACAGCGCATCGGGGACCTTACCCACTTGACAACCCGAATGAGAGAGAAACGATCACATGAAATCTTCCCACATACAAAACACGCTTTTTAAATGGAGCAGCTGTCTTTAGTTACTAAGTTCACACCCTTCGAGTTGTTGACTCGATGCCAGGAATGAGCCCAGAGCTTTGGTGCGGAGTTCAATTTCCTCCTCCGCCATGCACCGCTCCATTTATCTTCTGTCACTCTTATTTAGCAGCACACAGCCCCAGTGAACGGGACCCCACTATTTATGATAACAAGGAGTATGACACATTCCTCTTCAGCCGTTCAATCGATATACATTGAAATTTGTGAGTGATTTATTTGCTGTCGTGAGAAGGGAAAAGCAATTCAGAGCCACGAGCTATTTCATATTCTCCTTCGGATCATTAAGTTTGAGAAGAAGGGCCATTAAGTGCCTTAAAATATTACAAACGTCCAGGGAACGTCATGACAAATTATTGCCGCTTGTTCTGTCTGCTGTAAACACAGCCTACGAGAAGACGCCATGAATGAGGAATACTGGTGTCTGCGAGCTGGGTCCCTCAGGTGCAGAGCTCTGGCCGCTCCTCACACTAAATGTAAAACAGTGGATGTGCGTCTCCTCAAGGACAGATGGGCTTAGGGTTCTTCTCCGTCTCACCTTTCCCCTCACTACCCGCGCGTATGGTAACTCGCGTTACAGCACATCGAGCAGAAAGACCCCATTTGACACGAAATGTTCAACTTTAAAGATTGGTCCTTTTCTGAAATAAACTGTTACGCCTGCTTTAATTACCATGTTTCCGGTGTCCAGGCAAGTTTTCACTGAGCAAAGTGTGAGTTTGCTTACCCCAGTCCTCTGAACTTCCATGAAAGTGGCTCTCTGGAACGACTTCTCCCACACGGCCAGCTCACTCCCCAGTTCCACGTTGAAAAAGTGACCCTTGCCATGGCCGACCATGACACTGAAGCAGTACGGCCTCTGGTCCTCCAAGTCAAAGTCGTGAAGACCCAGGTAGAAGTTTGCTTGTAACCAGCAGTCATCTGTAAGCCAGAACTGAGAAGAAGAGCACGGGGTGAAAACAGAGCAGAGTTGAAAGGTGGTTCCCAGACTGGGGGCCCCGGGACCTGGGAGGGGCGGAGGCCGCGTCTGGTCCCTCCCCATCACACACCCGGAGGCAAATTCAGGAGCAGAGTGTCCTTCTCCTGTATGAGTGGACTGGAAACGGGCCCCTAAATAAATATTGGTACGTAAATTATGTCCAAGTCCTAATTTTCTGTAAGCACCTTTCACTTAAATTACTGGTAACCAGAACTTCTAAGGTCAAAGTCGTGAGACTTTCCTGCTCCAGTTTAGCACAAAACCAGCAAACGCTGGAAACAGCAAAGGCGCCGCACAGGCCTCTCCTCTCTGCTCCTCCGGAGCCACGAGGCTCCTCCTCACATTTGTGTCCTGAATAAAAGGACGTGATGCTCAGAACATCTCGGAGGCCCTGCAGGGCACTGAGCCACCCGAGGTCTGATTATGTGAACCCAGAGGTCTTGACCAAAAAGATAAATATTTTAGAAATATTTTCAACAGCAAATGTTAAAACAACAAAAAAAGAGCTGCTGTTGTTTCTGGTTAATAATTTAACCCAATAATATAAATCCACTCCAGCGTGTCTACTGATCCCAGATTTGCTTTGTGGAGGTCCTGGCAGCTCTGACCTCTGTGCCTGCGGTGCACGACGTATCTAGGGGTCTACACCACTTCTCCAGGCTCATTGAAGTAGCAGCCCACCTTTAGGACTCACTTCTCTCACAGATACTACAGCTGAAGACTTCGTGCCTCAGGTGAGCCAGTGATGGCAGGTGAGGGCCAGTGACCGGCTGACACGGTCTCTCCCCGTCAGAGACAGAGACTCTAGATTCATGTCAGCCTTCAGCTCACCCATTCTTCACTCATTCCACACACGCACGGAAGAGCCCACACTGGGCACTGTGCCGGCCTCCCCCCAAGGTCGGGGAAGGAAGGTGGACACCCTGCCGAGGTTGCAGAGTGCCTGAGGGAGCATGATGTTATCTCAGCTCAGTGGGTGGCAGCAGAAGGGAAGGGAGGTGCCCGCATGCCAGGTCTTCACATTGCGATTTTGAGATATTTCGATCCACTTGGGCCATCTAGCCTAACCAGACACACCCTGTTCACACTTATGTTCAAAGTTGATTCCCCAGATGTGCGTGAACTCGGTAGCTGGCTGAATGGTTTTATTTGCAACGTGCTTCCCGTGCACAGGTTTGTGGGTAAAAGTGACCACTGAGGGGTGGAGGGTGGGCTCCCGGGTTCTCCAGCGGGCTGTTCTGGCTTCTCTGCTGGCCCCCGGCTGGCTCTGGGAGGACTCCACGCTATGCTGCCTCCTGCTTCCGGTTACCAGCGCCATTTATCCTTGTGCATCCTATAGATGCCTAATGCCTCATGGTGCGCACGTGCGTGTGTGTACATGTGTGTGTGGTGTGGTGCAGTGTGTCTGTGTGCCTATGTTCCTAATCCTAAACGAACTCTGGGTACAGAGATTACACCTTGATTTGGGGCTCCAAGATCCTTCACCTCAGACTGGGATACACAGGGACTATTCAGTAAGTAGGACTGTGTGTCACAAACAATGATAACAAGATATTAGTCACTGACTTGACTTTTCAGAAATTACGTCTGTAACCACTGAATCAATGTCAAGACTGACAACCAAAGAAGAACTCTTGGAAAGTGTTTGTACGGGTGTTGCCATCAACTGAACGGCTAATTACTTCCTTCCTGCCACCAGTTGTCGTTGGCGAGCTGTGTATTGTAGTAGAAGGAAGCAAGTTTTGGAGTCAGACAGACAAGACTTGAGACAGCTCTTTGCCAATTATTACCTGTTGACCTGGAGCCTTTGACTTGTGTGTGAGCCTCCATTTCTGAACCATAAAATCGGGCCACAAGGGCAAGTCGTTACTGGCTTTAAATAACAGCACAGATACAGCATACAGCACACGCATCCTCATCATATTAGCTCATGTTAGATTTACATAGGAACACATGATCTTTAAGGCCATGCTGAGTCGTGGTACAGATTTAACTTTGGTGTCTCATATTTGGTAACTGGCTTCCTGACTAAGTGAGGGATCACCCTGTCTACAACACTTCCCGCTGACGCACAGCTGAAAAGTGCCTCTGCCCAGACGGTAAGAACGCAGACACCATCTCAGGTTCACTTTTCTGGAAACAAAACAAAAGACTATTTCTTAAAATTACTCAGGTTTTTTCCTGCTTCTATTTATTTTGAAATAACTAGAGCAAAAATAAAGGAAATTTTAAAAAGAAGTAGTTCTATTATGACTACCTTTTGTCATCTGATTTGTTGTTTTACATTCCCTGTCACACACATCTATTTGTAATTGTATAAATTTGTAATATGATTTTATTAGAGTAAAAATATAGGATCATATTAGATTTTTAACCATTTTTCAATGGTCTTTTGATAATTCTTCAAATATTCACGAAGAAAGAATATCGTTAATATTTTCATGCACACAGCTCTTTGACTCCTGTGGATTACTTGTTTGGAATCAGTTCTGAGGAACAAGGTCACTGGATCAAACAGGATCCCGTCTATGGCTCTTCATTTGAACTGACAGATCAGTGAGCTGGGCCCCATATTCAAGAACCAGTAGGAAGAATAAAAAATAGCTTTGGAATGACCTGAGGAATCCCATGAAAGAACTCTGAAGGATTTCATACGTACTGTTTTCTGGAATACAAACTGTTTAGCCTCACAAAAAATAACGTGTAATAAATGCAATGTCAGTGAAATTAATGATCCACACGTAGCTCATTTCCCCAGATATTTCCTGCAGCTCTTTGTGAAACAAACGTCAGCCCTTGTGGACTGCGGTGTGTCAGCATGACTCCAAGCTCGGGAGCCGTTACAGAGTTAAAGGCGGGTGAGTCGCTGTAGAGAGACGAGGAGTGATGAGCTAGCCTTCACCCCCTCAGCTCGCTAACCTGCACGCAGCTCCCTACTCCAGGCCCTGGCCGCCCATCCTTAGAGCATTTACCTTAGAAAACTCATCACTATCAATCCTTTCTCTGTCCCTTTGAGATGCCAGTCTTCTTAAAAGCCTCTTGCCAGTTCTACAGCCCAGGGCTGACTTCCTCCAGGACCTGGGAGCCTTCCCCTTGGGATGGAAACCTCAAGGGACACGGTGCCCGTCTCCCAGTCTCTGTGCCAGGCGGGAGCTGAACATCATGGGGCGACTCCAAGTTGTGAAAGTGCATCTACCGTGAAGACATGAGAGTACTTCTCCCTTGGGTGGGGCCACTTAGCACACACACACGGCCATGGTCTCCCCGCACCCCAGCTCTTAGAGAGACCTGCCCTTCACTTCAGTGGAGTTGGGTCCATCTCTTTGCCCTGTCGAGGCAGCTGGGACATCCTCTTTGCCTGTTCCACTTTGATCAGTGTGACTTTTGCCCTGAGGAACTGTGGGGGAACCATCAGGAAGACTCCCCTCCATATCCTAATTGTACAAATGGCACAGCTTGAAAGGTGTCTGGAGAACAGGTTAGAGACTCTTAGCGTACACTCTGGGGAGATTCCCAGACACCAGTGTGTCCAACAAGCGAAACAGAATAGGGTTTGAGATGAGCTGGAAGCCAAGCAAACCTGGGTCCCACCTGCCTCCAGTGAGGCTTCTGGAAGCTACTCTCCCACTTTGTGCTTCTGAGTTCTTAGCTGTAAGATGGAGACAATATGGATTAACTCCTCAGGTGGAGCGAGGATTCGCGCAGGGTATAAACAGAGCAGTTGCCAAGGCTCCAGGGCAAGCACTCAACAAACACAGACACGACTATCAAGAGCCTCTGCCAAACACAAGTGAATCTAATTTACTGAAAATTGGAACTTGAATCTTCCTACGTTGAGAGGGGACGTCCGCTTGCTTTCCTGCAGGCTGTCCCTCACTGATGAAAGGTGCTGTCCCCACGCACCACGGGAGGCTGGTTATAAATTAAGCCATGATTGCAATCAAGGCCGATTGGTGCAATTCGCTCATCTATTTGATGGTGAATGTAGAAATATAGAACATATATTTTTAAGAACTGGAAAAAGTAATTTTTGAAGAGGAGAAAATGTCATAGAAAAACAAAAGCATAACTACAAAATTAGATTTCTGGACCAAATAGTAATGGCTATAGTTTATGATTATGAAAACAAGTCATTAAAAAAGTCCACTCTAAAAGTGCTAGTTCTTATGATAATCATAGATTCATTTCAATTTCTGAAAAATGAATTAAATGCTTATAATTTAAAATTCACATGTACAAAATGGTCAACATCAACAATTAAAGGTATGTTCAAAAGGGAGATATCATTTTGTAAGATTGCTATTTAAGACTTCCAAATAGGTCATTGAACTCACAGAATCCAATCTCCTTTTAAAAACGTTGAATGCTATAAATTTATTATTATTGTTATTTGCCCCATAATGAGTTTAATACTTTAGCTATAGCCATTCCCCTGGCTAATTTCATGATTTCATAATCATTTTGTAGCACGTTTATTGACTAAAATTTTTGTTTTCAATCTTCCTGGGAAACTAAGCTGGATACAAAAGAAGCAGTCGCATAGTTTATTAGTGAAGGACATGTATAAAATACAACGATCCTTTGAAGACATCCCAATACCAGAAGAACATCTCAGATGTATGAAGAGTGGCCATACAAACAAGGTGGAAAAAAGCCAGACAAGGATAATGAGGAGCTCATGTAAAATAAAGAAAAAAGACTTAAGAATTCTTCCAGGAAACTCTTTTATGAAATGTCAATGAATGAAATTCTATACATGTTACGTACTACTACAAGACTAATTTTAACATAATAGGTTTTTTTTAATGGTTTTGAAAATAATGCATGCATGCTATAGCCAACTGAGAAAATGCAGAAAAATTAAAAGACCAAAATCAAAACAGCCTGTAAAGTCATCACTGAGAGATAATCATAGTCAGTATCATAATCAATATTTTATTCTATTTCTTTCAGATCTTTTTTGAGGACTGTGCCTAGCACGGTGCAGTTCGTTTCATGAGCATTCGATGGTTTTATTTCCGCTGTTGCTCATCACAGCCTGTACTGCTGAGCTGCCATTTAAATCCATGAGGCCTTTTCTTCAAGTCTTTCCCTATTGTTGTCAACAAAAGTAGCAAAATGTAGAAATATATGGCCACGTGAATTTGTTTTAAAAAATTGGAAATAATTTACCATTATGATAATATTATCATGGGAATGTATTTCCCTTGTATGTACTTTTATTAAATGCAGATCTAAAATTCCAGATCTCAATTTAAAATAAAGCAACTACAAATACAGTGAGAGAATAATTTTTGATGATATTTTCAATTCAAGGAAGCAAACCAAACTTTCAAACATGTCTTCATTTAAAACTTCTAACTTTTGATTAATGACTCTTCAGGGTCAAATTCTCAGACAAAACATACTGAAAACCGCATATAGCTTTAGCTTTCCATTTATATACAGATTTCCTGCTTTAATTTGCATACTCCCACATGAAAAAGACAATAGAGACTTACGTGCATAGTGCACTGCTCTCCCCACACCAGGACTCAGAAAGTCTAATAACTGTGAACGGACGCCTCCCTCCCTTTAAGGCTGTGCCTGTCACCCCTTACGTGTCTGTTTACACAAAGTCAATGCTTTTGATCTAGGCTGTTTTGCTGTTGGAAGAAATCATTCCTTGATGGGTATTTTCCCAGAATAAAGGAAAGCTCCTAGTTGGTAGGACACAGCCCCCAAACTCCACCCACCCCCATGATCTGGTTAGGGCTTGCTGCCTGTCTTTTTAGGGAAAGTCTAGAGAAAGCATTACTCCAGGGTGTATAACTTACTTCTGAGACATCACTGAAGCCTGCAGGTTGACCAGATATCTCCACTCCCCCTTCCCCTGCGCCCCCAACCTGAGCTCCCAGCATATCTGCTCCCAACACGGTCTGGTAACTTTCACTTGGTCTCACTGTTAAGAAGCAGACTGTCCAAAGACGCGTGTTGTCACTACTGGCATTGTTACAGCAGATGGATACTCTCCTGTCTCATCAATGGTGCTGATAGAACATCACCTCTGATCACTAAGGTTCTATCTCAAAATATAACAATTCCAAGGAATTTATCGGTGCAATAAAATGTTATTTATTTACAAGGAATCGTTTCACAACAGAGTTGACATGGTGTGTAATAGTAGTTCTCAGATTTAGCTACATAGTAACATTACCAAGGAAGCTTTAAAAAATGAATACAGGTGTCTGGGTCACATCTCAGATAAAATGAAATCTTTAGGTTTTTTTTTTTAAGCTCCTTCCAGATGATTCAAATGCACAGACAAGATTGAGAACCACCGACACACGTACTGCCCTGGACCTGAGGTGCTAGAGAGAGGATCGCACCTCCCAGGAACACAGAGGTCAGGGACCTCAAACATGACCTCAGAAGGATGCACTTAGTAAGCACTTCACCATGACGAGGGTGTGTAGTCATAATCCCACTTTATTAACACAACCCTGCAAAGAGCATCCTAAAACAAAATATGAAAGGGTTACTACTGCCCCCATGTCACAGACGAGGAAACTGGGGCTTAGAGAAGCAAAGTAGAGCTTCAAGCCATGAAGTCAGTGCTGACGCTCAGGTCTAATGCAGGGCCTGTGCGATCGGGCAGCGTGTCAGTGTGCACAGTCAACCAGAGAACCTCCAGCAGCGCCTTGGTTTCCTGCGCCTGGGAGTCAGCTAGGCCTCAGCTGGCCTGGGCTGGATGGTTTGGGGCTTTGGGTCGTGCAGCTCTGCCCCACGTGTCCCTCATCTGCCGTGGATGGGCGGGTCCACCCTGTGTCCTTTCACAGCAGCCGCAGGATAACCACAGACCAAACCTCACCGAAGGCCAGGGCTCAAGGCACAGCCAGGAGCACCCCCGGCCGAGAGGAATCCCATGGTCAGGCCCGACCCGACCTCCCCGCCATGGGGAGTGACCCCTCCGGGTGGTGGTATGCGTATGGGGGGGATATTTGGCAAAGTGTAATCTGCTCCTCACCTGTGTTCACCTAGTGACAATGAGCTATTTTCATTTCTTTCCCACATTGTCTTCACCTCAGGTCAACACCCCAACTTCTGTGCATAACTCAGTGTCATGAAGAATTCTCTACAAACCTGAGGGGTGCTGAGAGTCTGTACCAACGAACTAACTGCACTGCCCAGGTTTGCTTGTTTTGGTGGAATCTGCACTTAAATACCCAGTTGTCTTTTTCTCTAACGTGCCGACACACAGCTGCAGCAAGCAAGCACGGGTACCACCAACACTCCCAGGGAAACCCTGAGAGTCCTTGTCAGAACAGAGCGGTCATTACACAATGAGGGGTCATCCCAGCAGAAACGGGAAAATTGATTTTGTGGCAGTGGATTAACAACTTTGGAGCCAGCCAACTAAATTGATTATTCTGAAAGCTTGATACGAATGTTAAGGATAAAACTTTGCCCTTTCTTAGCTAACGAGCACTTTCCTTCTGAGAGGAGCAGAATTATTTGATTAATTATTCTGGTCGGCTCAGGCCAGGCTTAAATAAGAAAGCTTTCAGGACACAGATTTGTATCCGATTTCTTAAAGTCAACAGCAACTGGAAGGGACTAACACACACTCTCCCCAGTGTGTGCACATATATTACGTGTCCGTCTGTCCTTCCATCCATCTATCTGTCTATCCATCCAACCGTCCATCCATCTATCCATCTAACTGTCTATCCATCCATCCATCCGTCCATCCATCCATCTAACTGTCCATCCGTCCATCCATCCATCCATCCATCTAACTGTCCATCCGTCCATCCATCCATCCATCCATCCCCTCAATGAGCAATTAGAAGTCAACTTTTAGGATAGGATAGTGGGATGAATCTAGATTTTAATGTTATTTTACTATTTCAATGGATGGTGGTAAACAAATCTTTCTCTCACTCTTTAAACCCAAAGGGACATCTTATTTACATGAAAGCATCTACTGTGCAAAGAGTACCTACCTTGTGAACTTTAAATAGTACCTCACAGAGGTTATAGATTTTTTCTGCTCGTACCCAGTCTAATGTGCTCACCTGCAAGAAATATAAAACATATGCATAAATCTTAATGGTTCTCACACACAAAAAAGTAACTCTGTGAGATGGTGGATGTGGTAATTAACCTGATAGTGGGAATCATTTCACAGTGTACGTGTGAGTCAAATCATCACATTGTACACTTTACATATGCTACGATTTCATTCGTCAATGACACCTCGATAAAGCTGGAATGTTTTTAAAAGTATATATGAAATGAAACATGCTACTTTTAGTTGGAAAAGTTAAAGGTTTACAACCATGGAGTGATTCAATGTGTCTTTACTAAATAGCAAGTAGGACAGAGGCGCCCTAAACCACACGCCGCTGAGGATGTTGATGAGCAGCCCCTGCTCATCTCTGTTGGTGTGTGGGATGAACACGTTTAGATACATTGCTGTTACAAGCACTTGCTAGTGTAGATACTTATCTATTACACAATTGGGCATAATTTTAGGATTTCATTTTGGATTCCTGTTACTTTAAATTAAGGGTTAATTTTAGGTTAAATTTAGAGAATTTAAGAGGGTAACGAATTTGCACATGAAATTTATATATTGGCTGGAGTGTGACCCTGGGGGAGAAATATTGTGTCTACAGTCCTGCTCTTTAGGACTAAACCTACTAGTCAATTCTATTTAGGAAATGAATAGAACATTTATTAACTTATCAATTTAATTGAACATGTCATGACTGTCCTGACTTATAGTTCATAACAATTTTGACAATAATAATGATCAAATTCATCCAACTTTTGAATGCTGTTTCATGGTTTACAATTCATGTTCGCACATATGATCTCTAAATTAAAATATTTCATCTAGAAAAATCTGAAATACTCAGGAGTGTAACAAATCTGGATTGTTCGTTGTTTACCTTGCACTTTTCAACCATTAAAAATAAAAATAATCAAATGCTCACAGTGTTGTGTCTTTGAAATATTGAAGTGACCATGTAGTTAATGAATTAGTGACCTCCCAGTAATCATTTCACCAAATAAAATACTTGAGACATAATCAGTCATTCTAAAGCCCACAGAATGTTTCACCAACTCAACCATTTGAATGGTTCAGATTTGGCCAGTTTGGAGAGGGGCTCAGACATCTTGATTTTTATTTTTAAGTAATTTACTACTGATGTATTTGCAAAGGAATCTTAAAGTGTGACATGTGGACCAGCAGCCTCAGCATCTCCTGGAAACTCATCAGAAATGTAGAATCTCAGGTCCGTCCCTGGCCAGCCAGATCAGAGTCTGTGTTTTAAGACTATTCCTGAGTGATTCGTACGTGCATTATGTTCTTGGCAACTCTGTTGTGCTGGCCTTTTAAGAAAACAACCAGAGGGTGAAGAGCCTGCCTGACACCTTTGTTAAAAAGGAAAAGAAGAAAAACAGATGGGGGAAGAAAGGCAGGATGGACGGTGAATTAAGAAAACTATATTTACAAAGCAGAAGCATATTTAATCATTATTCATGCTACAAAGGAATTCCTTATTTTGCAAACTAGATGCTCCATGACATGATTTCCTCAAATCAAAGGACCTCTAATGCAGCAAACACGATTTATTCTACTGTTTAGTTTTTAGGAATGCACGTCTTTTGTGGAAAGGAGTGAAAATTTCTAAGAGTAAGAGAAAGATGTGGGGAGAAGTGCTCTGCGCCATTATAGGATCTTCCTGTCCTCGGAGAAATGACTTATATGATAAGAGTGGGATGCAACCCACGCTATCGTTAAATCCTTACTGTGACTCAGAAACCAGGACAAGGGGAACGATACCAGCGGACGTCTTGATTTCTCCAACTAGCATGTGACGAAAAGAAAATTACCAGATTTTGAGACTGAAAGAAAAGACTAATGGTTTTGTAACCATATACCATCAATACTTTTCCCAAAAAACGATAGCTAATAGTTTTCTATTTTATTTGACTACATTTGATGGCAATGTAGCAGAAATTTTTGACTATAAGATGTACTGTCTTCCATCTTTTAATATTATTGTGGAACCCTTAATATGTAGCCTAGGGTTGATCTAGAGTAATTCTATATTAGAAAACAATTGTCTAATATTTCTTCAGTCTACAAATCTGCACTTAAATTATTTCTTTCCAAGTAAAAATTTTTTAAATGATAGAAGATACTTGCCTAATTGACATTCTTAAAATTGCTTCAAATATTCCTTGCATATTGATAGGCAACTGCTATATGATTTCTATGTAAATGCTATAGGATGCTGTAAAATGGATTTTGTAACTGTTATTTAATACATTTGAATGATGTCTGAAAACATGAAGAGCTGAAACATGATTCCTCAGACTCTGCAAATCAGAAATAACTCTTCTGGCTAACGGAGGAGAGGGAGACGGCGGGGGAATGCTGGCTGAACCCCGCTCTTCCAGCATCTGCTAGTGAAGTGGAGAGAGCCAGCGAGCACCCCGCCTCCGGGCTCCCTCTGCTCTCCACAGGATAACTCGGCTGGAAGCCTCGGGCCTCGTCCTCCTCCCACGGCTCCTTCGCGTTCTTTCTTCCCTTTCCCTTGTCTTGAAGGACCTCAGAAGCCATCCTTGAGTACAGGACGTTTTCTTTTAGGTTTTCCTAAATTATCTGCCTCAGAATCTCTGGGCCTTTTAAGAATTCATCTAAATATCCTAACACAAAGTATTGAGAAACCAGGCTTGGCGAATGCAGTCAAGCTTTCTGGGCAAAATCAGGCCCCGGTGGGGGGGAAGGACGACTGGGTGGTGACGCCCACACGGAGGGGAGGGACAGGCGTCCTCCGGATGTCCACAGAGCTAACTTCCTGGAGCCACCTGCTCGTGCTCTAAAGGGATACGGACCAGAGACCCCTCCTCCTCGCCTGTCTCCCTTAGTAAGGTGGCCGCCCCCTTCCTGAGCCCAAGGTACGCAGCTCCCAGGTTTATCCCCTGATGTCCCCATCTGCGCAGCGCGGCCCGTGCTGTGCCGCCAAGATGCGCTGTGTCTAAGTCCTAGTCCCCTTCAGCCAGAGACCCTACGATTCATGTCTGGATTAAATAAATAAGGGAATCTACAGGATAAAGCTGAACAGAAGGTGGTTTTAAATTTGGACAAAGCAGAAATCATTACTGGCAAATTGCCACCAGCTCCAGGATACAAGATCCAAAGCCAGAAAAACAGATATATAAATGTTTGGGTACAAACTCACTCACCATATTTTGTGTATTGCTTTTACAGTGAGAAGTTGCTGAATATTAATAATAAAATTTCATCTGTTAAATTCAAATGCGCTAGTTTTCAAACACATTCATAAATGGATAAATTAAGTCATTCAATGTTCCCCATGGTCCTGTGGGCGTTGCAGTTGCCATTTATTATCGGGTCAAAGAATGGGAGAAAATGTTGAAGAGGGTAAACAACACACTGGCAATCCCACAGCCGTGAAATGGAAAGATTCCGCTCAGAGCACATAGCTTGTACTATTAACTTACAACTTATTCTACTAAGCCACTATTTCCCTAATACTTACAGGGTAAATCTCTTTTATTGTTTCATAAACTCTTTCTAGCTCCCATTTTAAAATATGCCTTTGTTATTTTGGGTAATATATGAAAAATAATTTAAAACATTTCATTTTAAACCAGCATAATCCCATTATGTGATGGCAAAGTTTGATCTCTTTTTTTTCCATTTTACTTATTTTTTTTATTTTTTAATGTTTTTTTCCAATTTTATTTATTTTTAATTGCAGTAACATTGGGTTATAACATTATATAGCTTTTGGATGTACATCATAATATATTTCGAATTCTGTGTAGATTATATAATGTTCACCACTCAAAAACTAACATAGTCCATCCCTTCACATGTGAGCCTAATCACCCCTTTTGCCCTTCCCTCTTCCCCCATGGTAACCACCAATCCATTCTCCATTGCTATGTGCTTGTCTGTCGTTGTTTTTATCTTCCACTTATGAGTGAGATCATACAGTATTTGACTTTCTCCCTCTGACTTATTTCACTCAGCATAATGCCCTCAAGGTCCATCCATGTTGTCACAAATGGCCGGATTTCGTCATTTCTTATGGCTGAGTAGTAGTCCATTGTGTATAAATACCACATCTTCTTTATCCATTCGTCCCTTGATGGGCACCTACGTTGCTTCCAAGTCTTGGCTATTGTGAATAATGCTGCAGTGAACATAGGGGTGCAGGTATCTTTATGCCCTTGCGTTTTCAAGTTCTTTGGATAAATACCCAGCAGTGAAATAGCTGGATCATATGGTAGATCTACTCTTAATTTTCTGAGGAAATTCCATACTGCCTTCCATAGTGGCTGCACCAGTTTGCACTCCCACCAGCAGTGTATGAGGGTTCCCTTCTCTCCACACCCTCTCCAACATTTGTTGTTTCCTGTCTTGTTAATTATAGCCATTCTGACGGGAGTGAGGTGATACCTCATTGTAGTTTTGATTTGCATTTCCCTGATAGCTAATGATGTTGAGCATCTTTTCATTTGCCTGTTGGCCATCTGTGTATCTTCTTTGGAGAAATCTCTGTTCAGATCTTTTGCCCATTTTCTAATTGGGTTGTTGGTTTTTTTGTTGTTGAGCTGTGTGAGTTCTTTGTATATTTTGGATATTAACCCCTTATCTGATATGTGGTTTGCAAATATCTTCTCCCAATTGTTAGGTGTCTTTTCATTTTGTTGATGGTTTCCTTTGCTGTGCAGAAGCTTTTTAGTTTGATGTAGTCCCATTTGTTCATTTTTTCTTTTGTTTCCCTTGCCCAGTCAGACATGGTACTTGAAAATATGCTGCTAAGACCAATGTCAAAGAGCATACTGCCTATGTTTACTTCTAGAATTTTCATGGTTTCAGATCTTACATTCAAGTCTTTAATCCATGTTTTTTTTTTTTTTAAAGATTTTATTCTTTTTTCCTTTTTCTCCCCAAAGCCCCCCAATACATAGTTGTATATTCTTCGTTGTGGGTCCTTCTAGTTGTGGCATGCAGGACGCCGCCTCA